GGTCAACAACCGGGAAAATTCGCCGCTTCTTTCAGAAGGCAAATGTGACCCCTCCCCCCTCTCTCCCAACAACAAGCGAATATAACCTCTCCCTTTTATCTAGCGTCCGTCAAGCATGAAAATTCAACAACCAAAAATCTCGGACCGAATATGACCCATTCCCTGCTGGAAATCTCAACGATGATGTGCACTGCTTACAGCTCCAACCACTAGGGAAGGGAGCGACGTATATGTAGAGAGCATGAAACGGTAAAATTCCTGTAACCAAAACATTTCTCACCAACCAACGGTCAACTCCACAGCGACCAAATACGACCCTTCCCTGGGAATTTCTGGACGTACTCTCGACCCGGACGCAGAATGTTTTCATGGACTCGTGCTTTACACCCTCCCCATACTTTCAGTGCACTCAGATGGCTTTTAAGGAGCTTTCACATTGATCTGAATCACTTCTTTCCACAACACATTTGTCATTTGTTTCTTTTATTTTATTGCTCATGTTGGCTTCCATGTTTGAGTCTTATATCTTTTCTTTTTTTAGTTTTTCTTTTGTTTTGTTTTAACACTAACATCTTGCGGAATACTACATCTTACCTAATACTAAGTTCTCATTAAGGATGGGAATCTTCAGTTGGTATTATTGCCATTTAACACTGAGTACGTACACCTGGGGTGGCTGTCAGTCATAGAAGCTAGCTTGTGATGAACTTAATTTGGGCGGGTCGGAAACTGAACTGTTAGGGATAGGGAATACCTAACATCCGAAAGTTCAGTTTCCGATTCCATGCTTGGTTCTCATCCAGAGTCACGTTTTCCCTAGCGTCATCCGCCACTGAAGTTATCACCGAGTTTAATGAGTATTTACCAAGGCAGACGCGTCCCTGCAGCGTTGCGTCAAGAGCTAGCTCATTCGTCGATTTCTTTTATTTTTTCTTAGCAAAATTCCTACTGGAGTGTTATCTATCCTGTCGATTGCCTGTTCCTTCAGTTTAGAACCTAGGTACAGGTCGTGGTTTTTTATTTGATTCGCGCATAACTTAAGTGCTGTAGAAGCCGCACTAGCGTGCAAAGCCTAAAATACATATAAGTGAAAAATCAAAGCGACACTCGTACTCATTTCCTCTGGAAACTTTCTGATGGGAACTCCCTCCAGTCCGCGCCCTTACTTCAATCCATCGATCACTGAGGTTATCTAAGCGGAATGCTGCCTTTAAGAGCCAACATTGAACCTCGCCACCAACTAGCGTGATCGCAATGATGTTGCACCGGCCAGATCGGAACTGTTCTGTTTCGAAGGGGGCACGTCCTGTTATCCGGGAAAACTGATGCAAAATGGGACTTCCACCTCCAAGTTTCCTCCCCTAGTACAAGCCCTTTTTCCCACCCATGCACGAACTCCCTAAACTCTCCCAATTTTACCACTTATCCGAAGCTTTTCCCTGCATTCCACAATTTGGTCACTGCCGCCGGGCGGGGCTGGAAGCGAAAGGGCGAGAGCGGATATGTAGAATAGTTGGGAAAAAATGAAGAAAAATCGCAATCATCCTTTTCAACATTTTTTTCCAAAGCAATTACAACCCCTCCCTTCAGCGACCCAGTACTACCCCACTCCACTTCCTCGCTGGTGAATCCTAACGTACGACGAGCCCTCGTTCAAGAGAACAATCCTTACAACTATTCAGAGGAAAAGATAGCTCATGGTTCACTTTTCTTCGGAGACCCCAGAATAACATGAACCAGGCAAGAAATACCACAATGTAAGGTTTCTTACCAGCACATTCAATGAGATCAGTAGGAGTATCCCCTTGACACATGCACGCGTACGGACGATCATGCCATTCAGTTTCAAGAGCTGGTTCAGTCTTGCGGTAAACCGCTCGTGGTAGACACATTTGATCGCATCCCGAGTTATAACACTGCAAAGATTTGCTTTTTACTATTGCTATCAAAGTCGCACAGATCAAAATATGAGCAACATACCTTGTTCTCCAACCTTGGCTGTGCTTGCTTGTGATAAATTCTGACAGTCATAGGAGTTGAAACTTTTTGCATCACTGTACGCATTTCTCCTCCGGTAAACTGAAAACACTTAGGCTTTTGAAAAGCATTGCAATCGGAAAGACGACTATGCGATCAGAATGGGCCCGAGTTTCACCTTGTTGATAGTGATCACTCCATCGTGCTCCCAATCGGTGTAATAAATACGATCCTCAAACACGGCAATGGAGAACGGATGACGCAGATACTGGTGCGAATGAAGAATTATCTGCAGAAAATAAACCAGATCAGAATGAGAATATTACATTTTTTTCTCTCTCTCTCTCTTTCTCTCTTCAGTGGAGAATGATGAACTTGTCTACGGATTAAGAAAAAACGCTTGATCGAGAACAAATCACCTTAATTAAAGGCACACCTCGCATTCAAAAAAATAGTGATTTATGCAACTTAGAAATTAATGTGAAGATGGTAAATAGCACAAGTGCAGAAAATGCACTAAAAACCCGCTCGAAACCTCTCCTATAGAACCCCATGCGATACGTCGCTTGTACAGGGGGGGGGGGGCAAAAAAAAGTCATTTTGCCTCCATGACTTTCAAGGCGCTATAAGTTACACTTTATTAAATTTTTATCGGACATTTTTACTACCATATTAAAGAGCACATTAAATACTATAATGATACTCCGCCACAGCCTTCTGGAGGAGCGCCATCGAGAGATTCGGCCGCGCGAAAGTGAGTGGGTACCGGAGTTGAGCGAGATCGTTGATTTCTCCGCCACTGTAGACCACCCTGTTGAGCTCCGCCCGAACCGAGTAATTGAGGGGGTTTAGTTCAGGACCCCCGCTTAAATACTCCATCTTTTCCAGGTACTCAACGTTCTTCCATTCCAAGTAGCGATGAAAAGCTTGGCGAAGGCGTGTTCAGTGGGCGGAGCCATGGCCTCGTCGCTAACGGGACGCGCTTTCCTCACGTATATTTGAGCTTCGAAAGTAATACATCCTCCATGCTTGCACGCAAGTCTACCTTGGACTTCCTACCTAAGGAAAGCGTTTGAACATCAAATAAACGCGAAGGCCTTTTACTGAAAATTCGAAGCAAACTTTTGGAAATGGCAAGATTGTGCCCTTACCTTAACATCACGACCCCAGTAGTCGCACGAGAAGATTGATTTGACTTTGGCATCGGCCCAGTAAACACGTTTATCAATGTAATCAAGAGCGAGACCATTAGGCCATTTAACACGTTCTCCTTTCACAATGACCTGAAATGGAATACCTGACCTGAAATAACCCTAGGTAAGCGGTTACAAATGACGCCATGTGCAACCGCCACTATAAATATAAGTAATATGCTATGCTCACCAATCTGTGCTGTCCATCCATTCCTGCACGTTCAATACGAGCCTCCTTTCCCCAATCGGTCCAGAATATGAGACCCATTTCAGGATCAACAGCTATGGCACGAGGCTCCTCTAAACCATCATGGAAAAGGGTGCGTTTCTGGCGCGTTTCCAAATCCATCACATTGACCTGAATATATTACAAGCTTTTTTCCATGGGAAGTGTAAAGAGAACAGGAAATGCATAAAAAAATAGTACCTGATCGAGACCGCCGTCTGTCCAAAACAAGAGATTGTGAATCCAGTCAATCGCTAGTCCATCCGGAGTATGAACGTTAGAATCAAGAAGCACGATTTGTTCGCCTTCGGCACACTGAGGAAAAACAGTTGTGAAAAGAACATTAATAGGCGCTCATACTTTGCGGCAACGTCCACTAGCGTCCGCTAGCGCTCGGCGGCCTCTACTAGCACCTCGAGGGACCATGGAACTATAGGCATCGATCTACCGCACGCCAACGTCCACCAGCGTCCAGGAGAGGAAAGTATGGGGAAATAAGTTGCTGGCTTAAGTGTCGTGCAATTGCCGGGAGTTCAAGTTTCACCGTACAGCTACTGAAGAATCATGCAATCTCGATGTACGAAGTAGCAGTGTACAGTGCGGTTGCACACGGCAAAATTTCACCACGCCTAATCCAGCTGTCTGATACCCTCCTACTTTTCTATACTCTCCACTCCTGCACGCTGGTGTACTTCTCCATTCGCTAGATAGATACCTATATTGCCCTAACCCCTGAGGGCTGGTAACGCTGGTAGCTGGCGTACGTTGGATCTATACCTATACTTTCCTGGCTGCTTGCGCTGGAGTTCGCTCGAAACGCTGCCGTACGCTGGGGGGAGCTGCCGCTTATATGGACGCAGTCTTAGGTCATATCGAAACCAACAACAGCGAACCATTCAAGGATAGTACCTTTCCGCTTACCTTGTCCATAACGGCTAAGTGGTGGTGTACTGAATCGTTGCCAATTTTGCACATCAGTATTTTCTGCAGTGCAATATCCGACCAAACCAGGGTCTTAAAAACGTCAGTATTAAGGTTTCGCGCACAAATCCTATTGAAGAAAAGGAAGATTCAGCAGTAAGAACAGCATACCCCATTCTCATGATGGAAATCCATGGCAACTGCTGATCCTGGGCTCTGAATAAGTGGAACGTGGACGTTTGTGACAAGATCGAATTGCCTAATGGTAGCTCTGAAAACTCGTTCTGTTTCTACAGTCTTGTTCGCTGCGGATAATGGGGCGTGTCAGGAAGGATGGTTTTTACGTCCGTTTTCACCAGCTGTTGAAGCGAGCAAGCAAAGACTATCATATAGCAGTCGTTTCCCGCCAACCGTTGTCGTTTACCTGCTTCAACAACTGGTGGAGAACGAGCTGAAGGCGCACCAAACCCATCCCGCGTGACACGCCCCGTCATCCGCAGCGGGTAATGGTGCATTCATGAGTACATTGTAATCTTCAAACATCAAACATTGAATGTTACCTGTTACTGAGTAAGAGAAGAGGGTCACCACCCATCGCTCTGCATCTGTTGGGAACAGTAGAATTTGGACTTCGACTGAGCTTGTAATGGCGGTGACATCGACAAGCATAACTGCCAGGAGTGTTTACGCATATCTGATCACAAACTCCTGGTTGTTCACATTCATTGATATCTGTAAAAATATGATATAAATACATAGGAATTTATGACATACAGGAATGACAATACGTGCCTTCACATTTTCCGTTAACGACACGGAATCCAGCTCGGCAATGACAAATTTGCACATTCTTGACAAAAGAGTTGTGACAATCACAATAGTCGCTCTTTTCAGTACAAATGCCTAAACCAATAAAAATATAGTTATAATTTTGCAACAGATTCAGAGTACATCATCATTAGCAAATTCCCAACGAGCGGTCATCCTTAGTCACTGAGGAGATACAAAGGTCGCAGTTGTTTTGGAAAAGACTTTTCTGACCGTTGAGTCCACTCGTTCCGCAGCTGATCGAGGCTTTCCCCAGGTGAATGGCAAGCAGGACGCGCCTTAGGTTGGGGATTCCCAGCGAGAGGAGGTCGTATTTGCCTTTGTCGAAAAAAATTGGGGAAAACTTGGGAAAGTTGTAGAAAGCTGGGAGAATTTGAGAGATGGTGGGTAAGGATGGGAGGTGCGGAAGGGGTATCAGAGAAGGGAATTTTGATGGGAAGGTCGTTTTCTGGATTTTCCCCAACGGCAGGACGTGCCCTGATAGGAAGACACCGTCCGAGCCCCGTGTCCAGGAAAACGATGGGTTCCCTACGCTCCACACGCTACCACACACACCAGCACTCGCCAGCCAAACAGTCCCAAGCGGGACGTCGCAGCCACATTCACCAGCGCATTCACCGCACAGCAGTCTTGCACGCCCCTGCGTTCCCCCATTCCTCCCCATTGACGGCAGTCTTTTTGACTCTCGGTATTGTGGGCAGGGAACATCATTGGTTGAGGATTTTGATTGAGTCTGTACACCCACTCAAAGTACATTGATACGACCCCCTGCTTTCCTCCCCTAGTGCGATCAGCTGCCAAGCGGCGGGGGGAGGGAAGGGGAGGAGGAGGCGTACGTACGCGTTCATAGCCTGCGACCGTGAAGAAATGCAGAAATGCGGAAACTGCAGAAGTGCGGAAAGTGCGGAAATGATCGAATACGTATGAATTGCTTTTCGTCATTTCTGCAGATTCCGCATGTCTGCACATTCCGCACTTCTTCACTTTCGGCATTTCTGCAGATTCCGCACTTCTTCACTTTCGGCATTTCTGCAGATTCCGCACTTCTTCACTTTCGGCATTTCTGCATTTCTTCAAGATCGATACGTATGTAATGCTTTTCGTCATTTCTGCAGATTCCGCACTTCTTCATTTCTGCATTTCTGCATTTCTTCATGGTCGCAAGCTATGAACGCGGCCGCATAATAGCACTGAAATGATGGGAAAACCCTAAAAGTCAACAACCGGGAAAAAATTTTCCTAATTTCTTCTCCGAAGATTTCTCTCAGAAGGCAAATACAATCTACTCCCTCTCAACGAAGGGCAAATACGACCATTCCCTTCAACTATAACGCCCGCGAATTGAGAAAAATCAACTATCAAAAATTTTCTCACACCACATATGGCCCCGTCCCCCAGCGACGATATACGTCCCCTGTTGGGGAATCCCCAACGATGATGTGCCCTGACGACTGGACATCGCACAGAAGAAAAACATCGAGTATGGGAACGAGGATCAATAGCAAAATTTGCACATTCCGATTACGTGCATTGAACCGGATTGATTCAACAGAATAAACCTTTCAAAAAAATGCGAAAGTAACTTCGATAACAGACTTACTTATATTCTTTGCACAAGTAATGTCGTCCCCGCAGTCATTATGGCCACGTTTCACGCACAGATCGCTATACTTGACGCAAACAGGAGGCTTTGTAGGGCACGTATACTGCGTATTCGCATCACATGACTCGACTGAAAACAAAGCGTCAGGAACTCCTCTAATGTGCAATATCTATTTTCGAAAAGTCCTCCAATACTTTGTCATCAATATATTCTGTAACAGAGGTGGTACGTTGAGTGACAAGCGGCACCAGACAGGGCACGCTATCGTTGTGATGATCACAACGGGGGGCGTATTTGACTGCGAGGGAGGGGATCGTATTTGGTCAGAAAAAATTTTTTCGATAGTTGCAGTTAAATCCTGACGAACTCCCCCTCCCCCCGCTCGAAGGAAAATTCTTGGCTGAAAAACTGGAAATTTTTCGGGAAAAATGGAAAAATGGTAGGAAGGTTGGGAAAATCTAGGAAAGTGGTAGGTAGCATGGGGAGGGGGGTCGTACTTGAGGATGGAATTAAGGGGGGTCGTATTTTTCAGGAATGATCACAACGCGATGGCGCGCTCTGGCACCAGATCCGCCGTCCGGAATTAAGTTTGAAGTCAACTCCCAGCTGAGCCTATCAAGTGACCTTCCCTTCGAAACCAGTAATTGGTATCAGAATTGACTGGTAGGACAGAAGTAGACTATACATTGTTTAGCCTATGCAAGTCATTGTAAGGGCGATACCACACCTATAAGCCACTACGATTCTAAAGGGACCAGAATTTCCAGCTCTGAATCTGCTTAGATCTGTAGGTACTTTTAGCGTGGCGTAGGAACGTCATTTTCATCTCTTTAGGAGAGAAAACTTTCTACTAGGCTATTGATTTCCTGGCCCCCGAGCCAGCAAATCGAGAAGCCTTGCAGAACGCCTTCCTGCACCACTCATTTTGTCAACCTCTCAATACAGTTTTTATTAGAAGACCAAGCTTTGAGCACTACCGCAGTCAGCTGACACCTAGCTACCTCCAGACAAGCATGTGAAACCGTTCTATGACCCTTCGGGCAACAAAGGCTTAATCATCTGCGTCACGCAACACTCGGGTAGGCTTCATTTCCAAACCGACCCAACAAATCACAAACCCCTTCCAAACGACGACATGGTGAAACCTGCGTTTCTGGCTACTGCATAGGCCAACGCCAAATACTCCTTAAAATCAATGAAGTCTTTGAGGTGATGAAGTAGATAATACAAAAGATATTATAAGAGCAGGGCTTCGATTATTCTAGAATGACTCATTCCTAATATTTTCGGCTACAGAACAGGACGGGACTAGACGAACTGCGCACTAATAGTAAGTTGGGGAAAGTAATTATAGTAAGGATAAAGATTCGCCGTTAATCAATCCCTTTGTGGGATGCGGCACGCATTCTACTTCCATTCAGAATCGTAGTGGCTTATTGAATGCGATACGGCCTATACAAAGGTTTGTAGTGACCAGCTCATGTTAAGTCGGTGTTCATATCCTCCCAGACGAATCTGGTATCAATTTACCGTACCCGCGAGAGCCGATCCGGGGTTTGATCTCGGACAGCGCACGTAGTAAGCGTGTCACTTGCCACTGCACCACCTTGACTCGGAGAAGGAATTAGGGTAGCAAAGATCACGGTGGAATCAGGGAAGTGCAATTGCACTTGCGAATTAGGGAAGCGTGACTATGGCTGCATTAAAAGCATATCAATCAACCTTACTGATTCAATTACAGAAAACTGTCCACTTACCAGTTCCATTCTTGGGACAGTGCAATTCGTCCGAGCCGTCCGGGCAATCCTCAACACCATTGCACCTTTAACATGATTATACAGTTGCAAAGATTGTTGAGAGAAACACTGCCACTAAGGAACGTACCACTGGCTTTCCGATATACAAAGATTACTGCTAGGACATTTTCGTTCGCCTTTAACACATTCTCTTGCAGAAGCACAATTTCGTTCATCACTTCCATCTGGACAATCTTCTTCACCATCACAATACCACATTCTATTTATGCAATATCGTCCAGATGCGCATGCAAATTCCTGCAATCAATATTCCGTTTTTTCCAATATT